GTGGGGACATGATAACATTCTCAAGTATCTGAAGGATTGCCATGTAGAAGAGGGATTGTTCTTTTTTTTTTTTTTTGCTCCTGACCCTAAAAGGCAGAACTAGGAGCTATGAGTGGTATTTAAAAAGAGAACAATTTAGGCTTGATGGCAGGAAACACTACCTAACAGTTAGAGTTGGCCAATAGTGGAATGGGCTGCCTTGGGAGAAAGGGGTATTGGAGGTCTTCAAGTAATAGCTGGATGTATCCAGAGAAAGAACTGGTAAATAGAAGTACGTATAGAATGATTTTATGTATATATATACATATATATATATGTATATATATATATATACATATATATATATATATGTATATACATATTTGTTTCTAATGTTAGCCATCTCTAGGATGGGGGAGGGAAGAAAGAAAAGGGAAAAAAAAGAATTTTACATGAAAACTTTATTACATATTTAAAAAGGATAGCAAGTTGTACATAATAGATTTGCAGTTTCATGTGCAATCATCTTTTTAAAATTATACTATGTTATGGAAATGCTTATTTATTCCATAAATTCAAAATAAAATAAATAAATTTTTAAAAAGACACCTGGATAACTACTGTCAAGCATTTTTTTTGACTAGGCAGGATCACACAGCTAGTGAGGCTGGATTTGAACTCAGGTCCTCCTGACATAAGGTCCAGTGCTCTATCCACTGTGCCACCTAGGTGCCCCTATTTTAAGTGTGATTGTAGAAAAAAACACTGAATGAAGGAGTCATAAAACTTGGGCTTGAGCCACAGTCCTTTAAGCCATAAGACTTTAACCAGGGGTGGGGAAGCTGAGGCCTCAAGGTCACATGTGGCCTTCTAGGTCCTTGGGTTCGGCCTTTTGACTGAGTTCAAGTTTCACAGAACAAATCTTTTTATTTACAGGATTTGTTCTGTGAAGTTTGGATTCAGTCAAAGGACCACACTTGAGGACCTACAGGGCCGCATGCTGTCTTAAGGCCGCAGCTTCTCCACCCCTGCATGGTTTAAACAATAAGATTTAACCTCTCTGACCCCTGGCTTTCTATTTGCACTGTCTAGCTACCCTTCATTACAGGACAGTTGTGTTATGGAATCAGATTACAATTTTTCCTAAAAATGGTATCTCTGCTGACAGTGAGGTCAGTCAGAGGAATGACCAGAGGTTGGCTGGAACCAACTCCAACAGGCATATGAGAACCAATTGTTAAATTTTCAGTGTGAGCATTTCTCTATAGAATAGAGTATGATTTATTGATTTTTTAATCATTTAGTCTTAAGAAATTGATGGAGAAAATATTAATAATGCAGGCTGAATTTAAAAGTATGTCCTGTGTACTTCCTTCTCCTCCCCTCTATCCCAACCTTGCCAAGTCCCTGGTGTAAAATAGTGACCAGCACACCACTGGAAATGGCTTGGATATTTTCAGTCTGTGCTGCAGAAAAGGGAGGAGTAAAATGGCTTTAACTCCAGTGCTGCTCACTCAGTTGATTAATTTATTGAACAAACATCTAAAAAGCTCCCACTATATGTTAGTCACTGTGCTAGGTACTACAAAGGCAAAGCTGAAACAGTATGCTCTTCAAGAGCTTATATTCTATGGGGAAAATGACATATGCATGGATAGATGGATGAGTGGGTAGATAGAAATGAATAGATATACAGATGGATGAATGGGTCAATGAATAGATGAATAGATGGATGTATGGGTAGATGGATGGATGAAGGAATGGGTAGATGAATAGATGTATGGATAGATAGATAGATGGACAAGTAAGTGGTTGGATGGATAGACAGATGGATGAATGAGTGGATGGATAGATGGATGAATGAGTGAGTGGATAGAAAGAGAAATATGTAGGCAGACAGATAAATGAATGGATGGTTAGATGGGTTGGTAGATGGATAGATAAATGGATGGATAAATAGATGTTTATGCAAAGTCACGAAAAAGTAATTTTTTTGTTGTTGGGAGGTGGAGCATTAACCCCCAAGGGGATCATGAAAAGCCATATATAGAAACAGGCACTTGAGTTGAGCTTTGAATGAAGCTAAGGATTCACAAAAGTAGAGATAAGCAGGGACTTCATTGCATGGGGGCCAGCCCATGCAAAAGTGCAGAGATAGGAGATGACATGTCCTGTGTGAGAAATAGCAATAAAGCCAATTTGAATGTCTTGTAAAGTACTCAGAAAGTGGTATGGATTGTAGAGGCATCTTAGTAATGCAAACACATGAAGGACAGAGGAGATAGGAAGAAAACTCAGTATGAGAACTGGAATGGAGTTCAGAGGTCATCCAGTGCAACTCACTCATTTTTTAGATGATGAAAATGAGGATGGGGAGGTAAAGTGATTTGCCCCAAGTTACTTAGTAAGGAGTAGAGCTTAGACTTTGGACCCAGGTCTTCTTGCTACACTGGGCAGCTGGTGCAGTGGATAGAGTGTTAGCCCTGAAGTCTGGATGTCCTAAGTTCAAATCTGACCTAAGACTGGCTGACCCTGAGCATGCCACTTAACCCTGTTTGCCTCATTTCCTCCTCTGTAAAATGAGCTGGAGAAGGATATGGCAAACCATTCAAGTATTTTTACCAATAAAATGCCAGATGGAGTCACAAAGGGTCAGAAATGACTGAAAATAATTGAACAGAATTCTTCTTGCTACAAATGAGGACCTGGTAGAAAAATTTTCTTTTTCCCTCCCCTCCCCTCTCCTTCCCTGCCTAGCCCACCCACCTGTCATAATCCCCTGGGTACTAGAGGGCTTAGAAGGAGGAAATATTATGGGGAGCCTTTCCTCCTCAACTTTCCTCTCAGTGTGCTTTCCTCTTTCCTTCTCCCACTTGATTTTTTAAAAAATTCAGTTTTATTTTACTTTTATTTCCAAATTTTCTCACCCTTCCATGTTTTTCCTCCTACTTGAACTCCTATCCTCATTGCTTTGGGTAGGAACCTGGGGGTCCTACTATATTCCGATTCTTGGGCCAAGTCTCTCTTTCCTAATAACAGTGAGCCACTGCCCTCCAACCTCTCCTCCTTCCCCTCTCACTGCGGGGTGGACATGGTTGCTCAGATTATTTGGATGAACTGGGATTCACTACCTAAAATCTCTCTGGTACACCTTACCATGTGCCTTGCCATGCTATGTACCTTGTTTACCTTGTGACTGTGCCCTCCAGACTGACAGGCAGAGCTATCTGTCACTCAATACACTCTGAGGACCTCCAGGTATTTCCATCTGCTTTGTAGATAAACTCTTCTATACATTTGTGTCTCCTCCAATTAGAATGTGAGCTCCTTGAGAACAGGGAGCAAGGGACTGTCTTTCCTTTATTTTTACTTCAACACAGTGCATGGCATATAGTAAGTCCTCACTCATTCATTCAAATTAGGGTTGCTCCCTATTGCATCACTTATTTGACTAGAGAGGGACACAATCTGGGACTCAAAAGTGGAAGGGAATGTATGGGAACCAGCTTTTGCTTTCCTTTCACAACTTCTTTCATGACTTTCCTTCCTACCAATTGGAGAAATGCTGTTCTGAACTAAGAGATTAGGAGCATCTGTTGGGGGAAAAGAATCTGAATTTGTTTACAAATGAATTTTCCTTTTAATGTCCCCTCATAGATACCAGAGAGCTTTCCCATGAAATATATCAATTCTGAAGATGTATCAGTCCACTGAAAGAAGAAAAAAAATAATTCCTGGATCAAGGAAAGCATATTTTCTTTAAAGCTGGAGACATATTAAAGAACCTATTTTTCTTCCTCCTTCCTTCCTTCCTTCCTTCCTTCCTTCCTTCCTTCCTTCCTTCCTTCCTTCCTTCCTTCCTTCCTTCCTTCCTTCCTTCCTTCCTTCCTTCCTTCCTTCCTTCCTTCCTTCCTTCCTTCCTTCCTTCCTTCCTTCCTATCTCTCTGTCTTACCTAGGTTGGAAGTATAATGAATAATGATAATGAACCTTCTATTGAACATCATGGTAGCCTTGACTTGCTCTGTTTCAGACCTGAGCCTGTTTGTCAGCCTTGTTTCCCATTCCTCCTTTTTACCTCCCTGCCACCTCTGTTCCCAGGAGCATACCATATTGGTGTTGGACCTAGTATGGACACCAGCTGCCTTAGCCCGCTGTAGCACAGAATTTCCAAACTCAAGAAATCCAGCAGACTTAGCCTCCCCAGTAGCAGGTGCTACAGGGATGTACCAGCATATAGAGCAAAGAATCCATTTTCAAAGATTAGTTAATACTGCCATATTCTTGGTGGTTAGATGCCACAGAATAGGTGGCAATGGCTTAACTGTATATGTGTTATAAAGGCCACTAGGACCTCTTCCATTCTTTTCAAGGGAAATACTAACCTTCTCTCCTTTCATACAACACCTGGCAGGTGCTGAAGATCACCTGGCAAGATAAGGTACTGGACACTGAGGTCCTGTCTTGAACTACACTGCTGAACATTCAAACTCTACTGCAGAAAGTACAACTTTGATGGGAGTGGGGGACAGAGAGAATAATTCTAATGAGCTGGCCCATGTTGTTTGAATGCCAAATGTATGCTTGTCTAGGAGACTATTTTACAGAGAACTCACACAAAGTAAGCATTCATGTGGTGGTAGGAAGAAGCAACACAAGGACAGTCTCAAGGTCTCTCTTAAGAACTTTGGAATTGATTGTGTGACACAGAAGACACTGGCACAGAATTGTTCAGCACGGTGTGCTCTCATCAGAGAAAGTGCTGTGCTCTATAAGCAAAGCAGAATTGAAGTAGCTCAAAAGAAATGTATGATGCACAAATTTAGAGAATCCACCCCAAATGTTCATATGGACTATTTATGCCTGACCTGTGGTAGAGCATTCCAAGCTCGTATTGGTCTGATCAGCCACAGTCAGACACACTGTAACTTGACTCTAACATAGTGATGTCATTTTGGTCCTCTTCAAGAATGAAGCACAATAACCAACCAACCCATATTCTTGATGAAGAAAAGTTCTTTATTTGAATATAATGGAGCAAAAATGCCCATTTATTAATCTGATGTACATTAAATATCTTTGCATTTGTTACATGAATGTCAGGTATCTGGCAGATAAATTTACATACACTTCCACAGTTGAATAGATTTATACTGTATGTACAGTCATTCTACACAGAGCATGCCCTTCCACCAAGATACAGACAACTTCCTCCAAGGCTTTTGGTAAAAACACACTTGGTCAAACATTATGGCAGTCAGCAATCTGACACAGACGGTGCATTCCACAGGGATGAGTTCACAATTGGACCAGCTGGACTCAGGATGAAAAAATCCAGAAACCTGCAAGTGAGGATTTATCGAGGGTACACACATGCAAACACATATATACAATAGTGGTGACTGGGATCCACGTGATAGAAGGGCACACAGAGCAGGAAATACAGAAACCAAAAACAAGGTCAGGACCATTGCCAAGATTTCTCTGCAAATGAGTTGATCTGAAAGTGTGTCCAAAAAGGAAATCTAACTTAAAAAATAGCTTAGTGCTTTATATACATTATATACACATGAGCAAAGAGCATGAGACATGAGACCGGGTCAGTATGTCTCCAGGTCAGAATTAAGGATACACAATGATTTTTTGAATGTGGAGAGGGCATAAATCAAGAAAGAACACTTCTTTACCTTTTAATCTTTTTGATTTAGTATACAGATTAGGCACCATAAATTTATAACAATTGTGATGGAGAGGAAATTAGAACAATATGTCAACTAGCATCTAGGCATGACTGGTGAACTTCAAAGGCAGGTGTGGGTGTGGGTTTCAGCCTAGGGCCTTCTACCTGTGCATGTGTGGGACTGGAGACAGACTTCATGCAAATGGAAAGGGAACTCTGTTGGTTTTATTTACTTTGCATCTAATGATAGGATATTTGGCATCCCTTCTGACTTGTCAGAATTTCACTTTTTGAGGGTGAAGCAAATGTAATGAATAAGGAGCTTGATTCATTACTCTATGGGTTGGAGGATAAACTCCCATATACTCAGGATGGAAAGCCCCCTGCAAATTTCAATGAGAGTGGGGCATAGAGAAGACCTCTCCCCCTCCTCTTCACTGTCTTGGCTTCTACAAGACCAATACAGCAGTCACAATCACATCTTGGGCACAATGAGAAGCCAAATATTCTCTAAGGCAGCAGTTCTCAAACTTTTTGGTCTCAGAACCCTTTTACATTCTTAAAAATTATTGAGCACCCCCACCCCCAGTGCTTTTGCTTACATGGGTTGTATATGTTGGTTTTTACCTTATTAGAAACTAAAATGTCTTAGTATTATTATAAAAATATTTTCACCTGGTGGACCGTCTGAAAGGACTACACTTTGAGAATCATTCCTATAAGACATGCAACGACTTCAGCAAGAGAGGTCATCCCTGTTCACCAAACTTTCTTAACAGTGTTACATTAGATGATAGCCAAGGAGTTGGCCTTATTGTCCAGATGGACAATTTTTTTTTACTCTTAGTTCTAACTTGGATTAAACCCAACCTGTTTGGAGGGTGAAGAAGGAGTAGGGACAGAGGGTTACCTTCTGTAGTGCCATGATTGTGTTATAAGGGAAGAAGGGAAAAGAGCAACCATTGTAATTTTAGCATTTGGATTCAAAGGCACTAAAACTTTCAATGTTTCATATAGTTCCATCACAAATACAGATTAATGTATATGATTATCTTTAAATATGTGATTATATGTGTGGGTCTTGACTTAGGAATTTGAGATAGGAGAGTGATTAGGCTATTGTTTATGGCTTCTCAGCAAATGGAAACTCTTGCCAAGCCATGCTTCAAAATCATCTTCAGCACTGTATGTCAGAGGCATTGAGGACCTGTTGAGTATCAGCTCTGCATTAGGCAATGTAATTCACAGCTAATATATTTTACCAGTCACTATCCACATGTTATCTATCTTCATGTTCCCAGAAGAGTGATTAACAGCTTTTTTGCCTCTGAGGATCACTGTGTGATCAGGCTATGCTTCTGAGCTCCTCTAAGGCACAGGCAGTGGAGAAGGAAACAAGGATAAGGAAGATATAAGGTGAGCAGACGGAGAGGGAGTGAAAAAGCAGACAAATAGGAAGAAAGGATGGTGGAGTCACAACTACCAATCTTAGTGCCTGGGCAAGTAGCACACTTAGGGTGAGTAGATTTGTAATTCATGATGTGAAAATGATACAAGAAGTAATCAGAATTGATTCTGTTTCAGTCAGTTACTATTGTGACCTAGATGTGGAGCACATTTAGTAGCTACCTCTTCTAACTAATTATTCATGCTCACTAGGTGCTAAGCTCTGTTGTTTCTATGTGTCTATATTAAAATGTGCCCTCTAAATTATAACACTCTGGGGGAAGGAAAGTCCTTATTGCTTTACCGTAACTTTGAAAGAAAGATAGAGAGAAAGGGAAAGAAAGAATAACAGAAGCCTTTGGTGGGGAAATCTTTGAAATCAGAAAGGAGAATTTACCCCAAGTAGGTCAGTTCAAGGTGAATATGAGAAGCAGTAAGATTTGTTTTCTACACTTTTCGGAGTGAAGATTCCAAGGCTGCTCGATTAGAGAATTTCCATCACATTTTAGTTACAGGCTTTAGAAAAGATTCGTGAAAATAGACAGAAACAGTTTCAAATAGCATTTCTTATTTTTAAAAAATAAAATAATTTCTCTTCAAAATGTGGCTATTTTTTGTTTTGTATCTTGTACCTTATAATGATATCTCTGGGTGAAATTTCTTTCTATAATAACATTGAAAAGAACAGCAGGTTTGGCCATTTCTCCTTTTTTACCAAGTGCTGGCTGGGTAGCTTCTACAAGAATGCCCAGTGTGATAATGACACTTTGTGAATAGGCAGCTCTACCTCTTGGGCATGTATTGGTACCAGGTTCTTGCCTGGCTGATGGCTTTAATCTCCAAATTCCTCTCTCCCTCCCCTTAAAAAAAATCATTGCTTTTGTGGTCAATGTGATGTTTTGCTCTTTGCCTTTCAATGAAGACACTACTAACTGTGTCTCTCCTCCTTTAATGGTACTGCAAAGAATGAATAATCTGTCAGAGGAGAAGAGTGCAGTGAATGTCCCAGCACTAGAGAAGCTCTCTAGCCATCTGGCTCCCCTTCTCTTCCCATTTGTTCCCAGTGTGGGCCTTGCAGACTGGATTCTTGAATAAAAGCAAGTCACTAATAAATGAATGAGATCCTTCTCACGTCAACAGTCAGTTGCGGGAAACTATGGCAATGGCTTTTTCTTGAGGTTGGGCAAAGATTGTTAAGGAGCAGACATAAACTGTGTGTCAAGACAGTGACAAGAACAGTACAAAAGTGACTGTAAATACACAGGGAAACATTAAGTGGACAAGTAATGCACACAGGAGACACTGACATTTTTGTTCCCACACTATATAGATTTAACTTGTTGAATAACATGGGAAACATGACAGAAGATGTACATTGCCTGAAAGAAGGAAAAAGTATGTGAGTTTAGGTTTAATTTCCGAGTACTTTAAGGTATAGATTGGTAACATTTCCTTCTGTTGCAACATGACTGGTGCTTCCCCACCCCCCACCCCCCAGGTGAGTTTGGCATAGAATAGGGATTTTAAAAAAATAAAAAAGGAAATTTAGACCCACAGCCTTTAAGGGCTGGCTGGCTCGCTTTCTATGATGCCAAGCAAGTGTCAAACTCAAACATTTTTGTTCTGAAATCTAAAGGCTTTTAATCCATGAATAGGTAATGTGTTTTTTTTAACTGAAGAAAGAAATAATAAAGTCTTTTTAATCATTGAAAAGAATTGAAAAGAATAAATGTTGAAAATATCCAGTTCTATTTTGGTTAGCAGATATCCAATTCTATTTTGGTTAGCAGAAAGGAGCAGATGGCATTCCCTTGGCATGCTACCTAATTGAATCCCATAGTTTAGGAAAGTCCCCTCCTTAAACTCTTCATCTTTTCACTACTATCTTTTGCACTGCATTTCTGATCCTCTACCATCCTTCCTGTTCCGCCTTTTCCTTTCCCCCTTCCCCCTTTTATCCTTTTCATGAATGAAGAGCAAAATTCTTTTTGATAAGAACGAGAATTGTAGTTTGATATAGTTCATTTGTGGTGGTGCAACTGTCAACTGAGAGAAAATCCACTAGAACCCTGTGTTCCTGGCAGCAAAGACCTATCCAGGAAGCTTTTCAAGTGTACATGTTGTGGGACAAACATATGTGTAGGAGAGCCAACAGATAAGGCTGTTGTGAATTTTTAAAACTGGTGAGTCTTTTGACAAATTTATCAGTCTGGAAAGACGGGTACCCTAAGTGGAAGGGGTAGTTAGTGTTGAACTTTTGATTTTAAAGAGGCTGTCAGGGTAAACAAAACTGGAGCTTTATCCTTTGACACTTCCCATAGGTGTGTCCTAATTGGCTCCCCATCCTCTCTCTGCTCATTCTGGTCTATTCCCTAGTGTTTCCAGTTATAAATTGAATGTATCAAATGCTTGTAGAAATGCTACCAGTACGTAATCCTCCAGAATGCAATCTCTTGATTAGTGCAGAATTGAAGGAGCTGAATTCAGCTGAATTTTAATAGGTAGAGAATCCTCTCCGTGTTGTTGTCTGGAATGGCTGTTAGGACAGCAGGATAAGCAGATCCCTCCTGCCTACTGTGCTTGGCATACAAGGCAGCAATGCTAAATGTGACTGGTCACTGAACCATAATTATGAGAAGCACAGCTGACGTACAGAACTTGTATTTGAGGAAGGTAGTCTATTCCCCCTGGGGGGACATGGAGAATTCTGGTTGGATTCTGGGGAAGCTTCAGAAGCATTGGCATATATCACAAAGAAGTAGTAAATTTAGGAGTTAAGTGTGACTGCTTTTTTTTCCCTGGACTTTCATATCTGAGTTCCTTCTTATTTTCTTCTTCATTTTGGATGAAAAGACACATCACTCATACTTTTCCTGTGTCAGTGAGTGACCCAATGACTGGATAGATTCACAGGTTCATGCTTATCTCATGGTTATATCTTAATCTGCAGCTAAATATCAAGCCCAGAACAGGCTAGACAAGCTTTGCAACATACCTTGGAAACAATCTGATCTCTTCTAGGGAGAATCTCCGGAAGAGGAAAGCAATTGTGGAGAACCTGGGTGAAACAGTAAGGGACTAGCGCAAAGAGCACTGGTTGTTTGTAAATGGGGGCATTAGAAAGGTTCCCTCTTGGAAAAGCCCAGTAGCTTAAATTTTGAACTAAGGGATAAGAAAGGTCCTTAGTGGATTTCCGGAGGTGGAATTCCCTGGAATCCTACTTGCTGTCAGAAGAAAGAGATAGATTCAGCGAAGGGGGTGGGTTCAGCTTCTAACTTTTCTTTACAGCTTTGCTGACTCAATTTATACGGAAAAAAAGTTTAATCATGTACCTTCTCTGTAGATGTATCATATGTGCTGACACAACATAAATAAGAGCCATATACCATAACAATGGAGGACCCAGTAAGACTGTAAGAAAAATTATGGTTTTTTGAGTCTACATAAGGGCTTTTTAACCTGGGGTCTGAGAGACTTGTTGTTGTTTTAGTATTTTGATAATTATTTCAATATAAATGTTTTCTTTTTTTAATCCTGTGTGTTTTATTTTATGCATTTAAAAACATTATTCTGAGGTGGGGTCCATAGGCTTCCCCAGACTATCAGAGGTGTCTAGGATGCACAAAGGGGATGAACTCCTGGTCTAGATGTATAGGCTCATACATTTTTCTTTTGTTTAATTAGTAAGGAAGATTTAGAGATTCAGAATACATAGGATTGAGAAACATTACTCTTGTGAGTGCCTTGAGAGCAAGGACTATTTTTTTGGTATCTCTTTCCATCCCTAGCACTTAGCATAGTGCTTGGCACATATTAGATGCTAACTGACTGACTGACTGTTGCTGTTTGTTCATATTTCTTATCCACCTAAAAAGCTTATTAAGGCCTTTGAGAAGGGGGAGGGGAAAGTGAAGGGGAGAGAGGAGGAAGACAGTGAGTGAATTTCAAAGGAACATAAGTTTAAGACTTATTAGTGTGGTCAATGTCTTTGTCCCTTGGTGACAGCAGATTCTCTTGTTTATTTGCTTTAGTTTTCCATTTTTTGGCCCCTCTTTCCTGTTTCCTTGATTTCTATAGTCTTTCTGCTTTTTTCCATTCTCTCCCCTCTCTTGTTATAGTTTTTTTGATGAGCCTGGCCCTGAACATTTTCTCCCTGTGGACAGATGCCCTTCCTGCCCTTCCACAGACAGGACATTCTAGTTCTATAGATCTGAACAACAAGGAGGGACAGTCTATGTCCTGGGCTTGTATTATTGAAAGAAGCTTTCGTACACAGTTTGAACTGAGGATGGTTCAGATCACAGTGGTCAATGGGACTGGGAAAGGCAGACTCACCCTTATAAGGACAAACCTATAATTGATTGATTATTGGAAAGGAAGATTCCAAGCTAGAGCCTTCTTTAGCTAGTCTTCACTTTCTGGTAGCTCCTGAACTCTGGCTCTTTTGGTCTTGTTGTCCCACATAATAGCTACCAATGACAACCTTCTAATGAGCTGTACCAAGCTCAAAAACATGTATCATTTAAACCGACAGTGTATGTGGCACAAAAGATGATTTACTGCTGGCTGGGGGCTATTATTCCAAGTATGTACAGAGGCTTCAGATTTCAAAGAAAGATGTGTCTTTACACATAGCAAAAGACTAAAGCTGAGGCATGTGGGAGAGGTGAGGGGGTCATCTGGCTGACAGCTGGCCCATGGGAATTCTTTGCTGTCCCTTCCTTTCCTATTCTCAAGCAAATGCTCAATGAAAAATTACAATCAAGCAGCCAGCTGTGATGCTGTGGTATAACCCCATGGCCACCTTCAGTAGAGTATGTATGGCTATGATTGACACACGAGCTCAAGGCAAACACCGCAACCCCAATCATGCACTGTGCCTGTAATGCCACGGGGAATCGCTTCAACATTGTTTGGGGGCAAATTTTAAAACAGTATTTTCCAGTTGACTGGTCTGTTGCAGGGCAGCTGCAGAAGTTATCCCATGTGAGCACTTATTCAACGGCCATGGCATCTCCTCTTTGAGATCAGAATCGATGAGATGGAGGGACTGTTTTTCTACTAAATTTCACTTTGTTAAATCAAAACTAACTTGCAAGATTAAAATACTTACAGCTGATTGACTGTACCTGACATCATTGTTCTACTGAGGAAGAATAGAGCAGTAGAACAAACTAGAGCAGAGGAAGGAACACACACCTTTTGGGAAGTTTCCTTCCTTAACCTTTCTTTCTGTCTATGGCAGCTGCATAAGAGCAGAGGGTCTCCCTTTACTTTTCAAATATTCAGAAAACCATAACCATGTACACTTTCTCACCAGTATTTCCTCACATCTCCCAGAAGTCAGAAAATAAGTCCCTCTGTGGATTTTTCTTGCAGATTACTTATCACACTTTTTGCTGTCAGCTTACCCTGTCATGATTTTTCTCCTTCACCCTCATAACTGAAAGAACCCCACCCCATCTGCTCTACACCACATGGTTTCCTTTGAAAGACATTGTTGTTATAGCCCAAATTATACGTTGCTTTTTTCTAAGTAAACAGGAAATGTCATATGGTTGAAAAAAAAGTGGTATCTCTTTTCTCAGCATGAATGTAGTAATAAGCCAACCTATGTTCCTGCATATTGTTGCCTTAATGTTAGAACTTATTTACACCATCACTACTCCCTCTTAAGCTTTCTAGATCTGATCCAGCAAAATCTGAAACTATTCTGACAATCTTAGTGCCATTTTTAGAAAGGTTTCCATTGATGAAAAGAGAGGACTTTTAGCATGCATTGTCTTCCTTTTGCCTGCTTTAGGGGAGGTAGCTGTCTTTACAGTTTGGAAAGAAATGGTTAATGGCAAAGCGAGGTGTGCAAAAATTGTGTCTGGGGGGAAAGGACTCACACAGCTAAGCGTTAGTCACCACAAGAGGTTGAGTTATGGTAATATCTGACCCATCTTTCTTGGCATGAAATATCTAAAACCTTTGCACCAATCAAGAAAATTGACACTTGGAAAAGAGAGAGAAACAAAATGACAAATGGCTTTTTCCTCCCTGCCAGTTACATCAAAACCTGGGTTCTTGTGTCAGGTAGCCGGAGTCCTACCAATCCTCCACATACAAGCACAGTAGAAGCTAGTAGAATAGGGATGGCTTTGGTGATACCAACAAGGGAGCCAAATATTAAGTTTCCAAGCACAGCTGCTGCTTTGCATAGAGCATTCAAGAAGCCAAAACCTGTTGACCTGAAAAAAAAAAGACAAAACAAAATGAAAAACATGAAGAAAGCGGTTTCTATGCTTCCAACATACATGTGTCCTACTCTGATACCAAGACATACTTCAAGACCATTTAACAGTTATAATAAAGCTTAAATTCTTTGCAAGTGAGTTGTTCTGCATATTATTGGGACAAATAATTAAACCCTCAAAAGCAAAAAGCTGGGACAAAAGCCAAGGCAGCTGGTGCTTTGCTTTCAACCCTCTGTCAGCTCTCTCACTACCTCCATTTGGGCTGTTCCTGCAGCTTAGAGAGTCAGAAGGGCAAGAAGGTGTGAGGAAGCTGAGGAAGTCCTGCCGTGCTCCACTCAGTTCGATTCAACTAACCAGAAAAGCTCACTAAATGAAAACCTAAGTCACTTTGTCAATTATCCTGCCCAACAGGCAGATCAGAGAAAGGGAAGGCAGATGGAACATAGCCTAAGAGGTGACACCTTCCATCCCCACAAGAGAGCCAGGAGCCCAGGGTGGACAGAAAGGAGGCTTGGCAGTTCTTGGCTCTTTTCAAGTTTGGTCTTCTTGGCATGGAATTTAACACTTTATCAAAATGTCGTTTCACACATCTATATTCAAATGAAAGTATAAATTACATAGCCAAAGCAGGCACAAATATCTGATTACAAGCCATTTGGGGTTTTATGTCTTAGTAAATCCTTCCTTCAGTTTGGATTGTCTGGAATTACCAAGGGAACAAGGTAACTTTGCTGGATGAAGCTATGAAAGGTAACCAGGGCTGTAACTATGCCTGGGGCAAGCACTAAAAAAACCAGATGGAGACTGCAGGCAGTGGGGAGGGAAGGGAGGGAAGGACAGGGTGAAGACAAAGGCTGAGACAGATGCTAAGGAAGCTGCTCTTTGGGCAAGAGCTCACCTAGGACTGAGGAAGGTCTGAGGATTCTGAACCTTCAATGCCCCACGGATGGCTTTTGTGTGGGTCTCTGATTCGCACTGGTTACCTGATCTGGTCCAGTTACACAGGAAAGGGAAAGTCCATTTCTCCTGTGTCTCCACAGAGCAACAAAGCCCTGGATTTCCTAAACCCCAGCAGCAGGCAGAGGGCGTTTTGGCGGAGAAGGCATGGTAGAGATTCAACCCCTGGAGGAGACCAGGATGTCCAAGCAGTGGCAAGGAGCGGGTGTGTCCCTGGGCCCCAGGTAAGGGAGTTGGAAACAGTTGTATTACAGATGTGAGGGCAAGAGGGGATGAGGACTACGGGGTATGAGGGAGGCAGTCTCCTCTGGTAGGGAAGGAAAATTGCCCTTCTCCATTTCTGTGCCCTGGAAAGTGTCAGATACCCTGCCTTAGTTAAAGCTCTGAGAACAGCTACTACCATCTCCTTTCTTTCAACTTTCAGACACAAATATTGGCCTGAACTGATTACCATTATGACCCAGTGTGATAGTTTTTATTTTCCTAATATGTTTCCTTGTGTGAAAATTAAATCTAGCTAAATTTAAAAGAAGAAGGCTGTGAAAGTCAGAGATTATCTGGCTGCTACAGTATGTACACCTTTCTTTGTCATGTTCACAAATTTATCAGTTGTTCAGGGGAAGGGAAAGGAACAAACGTTCATTAAATATCTACTACTATCTGTACCAAACACTGTGGAAAGCACTTTACAGTTATTATCTCATTTGATTCACACAACAATTCTGCTATGGTTATCCCCACTTTGCAGTTGGGGAAACTGAGAAAGACAGAGGTTAAGCGATTTGCCCAGGATCACCCAGCTAAGAAGTATCTGAGTATGGATTTGAACTCAGGTCTTCCTGACTCTTGAACTGCTCTATTTATAATGCCATTGCATTGTTTTAATCCAGCTAAAGCTTCTTTTTTTTTCCTTAATAGTGTTTTATTTTTTTTCAATTGTATGTAAAGAAAGTTTTCAACATTCATTTTTGTAAAATTTTGAGTTCCAAATCTTTCTCCCTCCCTTCCTCCTCTCACCCCTCCCCAAGACAGCAAGCAATCTGATATAGGCTTTACATGTACAATCATATTAAACATATTTCCACATCAATCATGTTGTGAAAGAAGAATCAGAAGAAAAAGGGGAAAGTCACAAGAAAGAAAAAACAAAGAAAAGGTGAAAATGGTATGCTTTGATTTGCATTCAGACTCCATAGCTTTCTCTGGATGTGGATAGCATTTTCCATTGTGAGTCTTTTGGAGTTGTCTTAGATCCTTGCATTGCTGAGAATAGCTAAGTCTATCATAGTTAATCACTGCACAATGCTGCCCTTCTAGTTCTGCTCATTTTACTCATCAGTTCATGTAAGTCTTTCCAGGTTTTCCTGAAATCTGCCTGCTTATCATTTCTTATAGAACAATAGTAATCCATTACATTCATATACACAAATTGTTTAGACATTCCCCAATTGATGGGGCAGCCCCTCAATTTCCAATTCTTTGCCACCACAAAAAGAGCTGCTATGAATATTTTTGTACATGTGGGTCCTTTTCCCATTTTTTATGATCTCTTTGGGATACAGACCTAGAAATGGTATTGCTAGGTTAAAGGGTATACACAGTTTTATAGCCCTTTGGGCGTAGTTCCAAATTGCTGTCCAGAATTGTTGGATCAGTTCACAACTCCAGCAACAATGCATTAGTGTTCCAATTTTCCCACATTTTCTCCAACATTTATTATTTTCCTTTTCTGTCATATTAACCGACCTGATAGATGTGAGGTGGTACCTCAGATTTGTTTTAATTTGAATTTCTCTAATTAGTAGAGATTTGGAGCATTTTTTTCATATAATTATAGATAGCTTTAATTTCTTCATCTGAAAACTGCCTGTTCATATTCTTTGGTCATTTATCATTTGGGGAATGACTTGTATTCTTATAAATTTTTGACTCAGTTCTCTCTATATTTTAGAAATGAGGCCTTTATCATAAACACTGGCTATAAAAATTGTTCCCCAGCCTTCTGCTTTCCAGCAAACATTTCTTAAGTGCTTGCTATGGTAAGGTAATGTGCTAGGTTCTGATAATAAAAGGACAAAAATAAAATAGTCCCTGCTCTTAAGGAACTTATATTTTAATGGATGTTTGCTAACTCCCTGTAACTAGAATTGTTACCCATTATTCCTCTGTTAAAGTCTGACTTGGATGCCTCATTGTTAAGTGAAGGTGATGCCAGGTTCTCAAAGGCTATGCTAATAGTGCCAGCTCTGCCAGTTCTACTAAGCTGAGAAGGCTTTAATTGTGGGCTAGTAGGAGACCACATTTATCATTTGAAGACCAGCTAAGTATTGATCCCAGGGTGATTAATTTCTCAGCTACTGCATCTTTCAAAGACCTGCTACCAAGATTGGTATCTGCATCAGTGAAAGAAGTACCTATATTGATGAAATTGAAGGCCATTGATGGGCAGCTAAGTGAAGCAGTGGATAGAGCTCTGGGCCTGGACACAGGAAGACTCATCTTCATGAGTTCAAGTCTGGCCTGAGACACTTACAAGCTGTGTGAGCCCGGGCAGTTCACTTAACCCTGTTTGCCTCAGTTTCTTTATCTGTGAAATGAGTTAGAGAAGGAAATGGCAAACCACTGGCTTCGCCAAGAAAACCCCAAAGAGGGTTACAAAGAATTGGACCTGACTGAAATGACACAACAAGGTCATTAAGGATTAAGATAATAATAGTCTAATAGTATTACCTCTACATTTTACGTTTTCATGTTTTTTAAGATATTTGCTATTGACACTAATAAATCTTCAACACATAAAGCATGCCTTCTTTCTCTCAGTAGAGAGGTAGTGACCTATAGGTATGGAATAAGGCATATATTATTCTACCTGACCAATGTACTGGTTTGCTTTATTTTCTGTTAGAAGGAACAGTTCCACAAGGCTTATTGTTTGCTCTTTTTTTTTCAGGCATGTCCAACTCTTTGTGACCTGTTTTTGGGGTTTTCCTGGAAAAGATACTGGAGTGGTTTGCCATTTCCTTCTCCAGCTCATTTTATACATGAGGAAAGTGAGGCAAAGAGGGTTAAGTGATTTGCCCAAGGCCATACAGCTAGTAAGTGTCTGAGGCCAGATTTGAACTTAGGTCTTTTTGACTGCAGACTAAGTCCTCTATTTACGGTGACACCTACTTGCCCTCCTTGGGGGTAGGAATGACATTGTCGGGAAGTCATAGTACAAGAAAATATGTCAATAAAAGAGGGAGCAAAATTTTCTTCCTTGAACTTTGTAAACTGAATCTATGGCTAAAGGTGATGCTAATCCTTTCTACTTGCAAGGAACCTGGTAACCAGCAACAGAAATAAACTTTTTTAGTCAAACCACAAAGTAAGTTGCTTCTTGCAGTTTGGCAGTTGGCAGTAGTGTGGAATGTGGAGGATATGTAACATGATCTCTTATGAAGGAAAAAATGGGAACTTCTGAGGAAAGAATAGGGGGAACTAGAGAAGTGCATGAAATCAGTCACAAGATCATGTTACTTATATATTCTTTTTTTAAATGAAGTGATTAGTAGTGTCAGCACCAAGTTCAAAGATGATGAAGAAATTGGTCACACAGAAGACAATTTAAAAATCAAGCTATTTAAAGCATGCTTTTTGAGTATTAGAAGATTGAATAAGTAGTGTTCTTCAAAAAAGAGTGAAAAGACATTTCCTCCTAGGAGGGGATCTGAAAATGATGCCAGGATTCTAAGTTGTCCTCTGTCAACAAAAATAGAAAAAAAAGTCTAATAATTTAGTCTTTTTTTTTCTTAGAAAAAACAACTTATGTTTATAAACTTTAGCACTTTAAGGTTTACAAAGCAGTTTCCCTCCCAGCAATTTTGTGAGGTTGGGAAAGCACAAGTGATGTTATCTCTACTTAATCTTGAGGAAATAGTCTCAGAGAAGTGAACAGATGTGTCCATAGTTATTGGCTCTATGTGTCAGGACTGGGCAGAGGTTTCCAGGGTTTACTGTAGGACTCTTATAAACTATCAAATTCATTTTATTTCATTAAGATAACAGTAGATGAAGGCACTGTCTCCTGTATGTTGTAGATAGGGGAGGGAAAGAAGTAAGGGATCACAACTTAAAAAAAAAAAGCTTCTCAGTGAATCTCCTTCAAGGGTTAATAAAATGACCAATACCGAATTTACATCTGGCATAAAAATTACTATACAAATGATGGTAGGATAGGGAATGTAACATAATACTTCCCCCCCCCAAAAAAAACCCCTTTTTTTATACTACAGAGAAAATGTTACAGACTACCCCTTTATGACATTCTAACAGTAACAAAGGCTTGCATAAAATTTCCCGAGAGTTCTGGAACTCGATTTTTCTATTCAGTGCTCAAAGGCAAACAAACATACTGATTGTTTGGTATCCATGGGATTCCAGGGAAGATTCCACTGTCTTGATTTCCCAGAAATTTGCATTTTCATTTATAAAGCAAAGGCAGCCTTTGAAGAGGACAATTTGCAGAAGATTTGACACCTATGACAGACTTAAAATAGTGGCCACATATGAAAAATTTCCTCTCTCTTTCCTTGGGGAACACTTGCAGCTGGAGAAAGTGGATACTTTCCAATTCTTAGTGGCAGAGGCGAGTCATCAGAAACAACGCGGTTTTAGAAAGGTTATTCACAGAAGGGAAAGTCTCTGAGAGTTCTTTGCATATGAGGTGAACTGAGCTTAGTTAACAGTCCCTTGCACTTAGGAGAAATGCCTAAAGCAAGGCTCCTACCGAGAGACCCTGGTGGCATGGAGTCTACGGCTGTTGGCTGGTTTCTAAGCAGCTGGGACTGGCTACTGCAGCATTTTACTTATGGTAATGAACCTTTCCTATCTTCCAATAACTACCAGTGAACAAAAGTGTGGAAGGGGAAGAAACATTAGACCTATTTAGTTGCTGTCCTTATTAAAGATTCCCTTGTTTCTATTATGATCTGTTTATTGGAATCTTTTGAACATTAATCTCCCTCCCCTGCAATTGATGGCACATTGTGACTAAGTAGCAGCGCTGGCTTTTCCCATTTCTGCTGCTGTCTCCCTCTCTTCTCTCCCTTCCCCCCCTCTCCTTCCCTCTCCTCCCCTCTCTCTTTCCCTTCCCCTCCCTCCTCTCCCCTTTCCTCCTTTCTGTCCCCACTCTTCTTCTCCTCCTCTTTCTCCCCTTCCCGCCTTCCTCCCATCTCTCTCTGTGTCTCTATCTCTGTCTCTTTTTTAGTCCCATTGACTGACAGTGTGAACTTGGCTGTAGGTGGCAGGTTTGCTGCAGGATTATCTGAGTAGCCCTGAAGTCCCAGTCAGGGCCACTGCGGCTAGACTGGGCACCTACTTACCCCTTGGCCTTTTTCACTGAACAGGCATGACTCCATTTGTTGGATTTTACTGTTTAAAATGGTGACAAAGAAGACTCCTTTCACCCTGCCCCCTCCCTCCCCCAATATCCCACACGTTGAGATTTTTCATTCTTTTACATTCCTTTCCTGGCCCCCTTCCTTATAGTTCCAGCTGTGGTTCCTTAAGAACAAAGAATAAGCAAAGAGTTCCAAACTCTGCACCATTTACAAGTGCTAAAATGGTATAGGCCAAGGTGTGGACCAATGGCAGAATATTTGTGCATTTTTCCCCGATTAACAAGAATTTATTTTCTCTCTCCCAATCCTCTTCCTCCTAATTTAAAAGTTAAAAAAAAAGCTAACAAAACCCTTATAACAAATGCAGAGTCAAGCAAAATAAATTTCCACATTGGCCATGCCCAAAAATGCATATCTCATTCTGTACCTTGAATCTGTCACCTATTGGTCATACATAATACTTATTACTGAGTAAGTCAGGGGTAATACATGTGCATTATCTCATCTGAACCGAATAACAGCCTTGAGATAGGTGCAACTGAAAACTGAGACTTAGAAAGGCTAAGTGATTTGCCCAAGGTGGAGTTCAATGCTGTGGACTCTTTCTGAATATTTAACAACAACAACAACAAAAAACACAACAGTAGATAACCTTTATATCACGCCTTAAGGTTTACAAAACACTTTAAATAGAGGGCAAGCCACTGGGGAAGGTATTTGGGAAGAAAACAGTGTGACAGCTGCATTAAATGAGTTGCCTGGTGTTGAGAAACCAGAGGTACCCAGAACTGGGGTTGCAGGCCAGTGTGCCTGTGGTGGGATTTGTCCTCAGGTCTTCCTGACTCCTTGTCCACAATACTACTCAGGCTCTGAGGCTGACTGACTCACATGGTGATTATGAGGATCAAATGAAATAATGTATGTATAAAGCATTTTGCAAACCTTAAAGCTCAGTATCAATATTATTATTATTATCAAGTGACGATCACAATTTTTGCTTTGGGCAATGTCAATTACTATAAAGCCTTATTATGAGGGAAAAGACATGTGAAATCAGGACTTATATGGTGGGAAGGGGATTCAGGAAGCTCTGCATTTGGACACTGGTAGACTTGGGATGAAAGGGAAGCAATATAAGTACTTTTTTTTCTTCAGGATTTAAATCCATCTCACGACTTTATAGGGATTTCAGCCCATCCCTGGATGATGTCTTTCAGCATATTCAGCCTTTTTTCTCTTTCTTTCTTGTTTTCCTTCTCAGTAAACTATGAATTTAATACCCGGGGCCCATTCTGTTAAAATACAGTGTTAAAGAAAAAAATGGCCACTTGCTCAGGCAAGGTCACCTTTTGATGGGGTCACTATGGTCATCTAATACACCATTTTGCATGTTTGAAAAATTGATTTGATTAATCTACCCAGATGTGATAAGGTTCTAAGGAATTGATTCATGCTAATCATGCACATAGGAGCTTAACTTATACACTGGAATGCCAGCCTCTTAGCTTTTGGTGGGTATGCTCCCTCAGGATACCACATTTTACAGATATGTTGGTGAGCAAAGGATTATAGAAATATATTTGTTGTACTCAAGGGTTTTTTTAGTTTAATGAACCATACTTTTCTCTTCTAGAAGACTTTTTTCCCTCTAAAGAATATGACTTTCAGACATCTAGATATTTTGTTTTTGTTTAAAGAAGATGAAGTATCTCTCCACCTCCTGAGAGAGAGATGGTAGACTCACAGTACAGAATGAAAAACGTCCAGTTTTTAATATGACCAATGTGGGAATTTGTTTTGCTTGACCATGCACATTTGTTACAAGAGTTTTGTTTATCTTTTTTTTTCCTTTTCAATGTGGGTAGAGGTAGGAGAGAAAAAAAGCTTTACAATTAAAAAAATTTGATTCTGAAAAAAAAAGATTCTATTAGGTGTCCTGAATCAGAGCACTCTCTCTCCCTGTGGAGTGATGGAGAAATAGCGACAAGAATTTAGTTTTGAATTGTCCTTGTTCACTTCCTTATTCATCATCAAAAACTTCTGTTATTAAATCACTGCCTCTTTACCATTTCCAAGATTACAGCTGATTTAAGGTCACTTATATTTTAAGTTTCTGCCTTTCTTTTTAGGCAACGTAGGTCACCAGCATTCAATATAGTGCCAGGCACATAATAGATGCTTGTTCACTGACTTTCTGTTAGTACAAAGAAAGAGTAACTGAGCTAAGAGGGTGGCAAGATAGCAGCTTGGATCACTGGCCCTGAGGATCATGTCAGCCTTTCTGCAACACTGGGGTAGCCTGCAGCCACCCCCCAGTAAAAATAGTTAGGGGAAACACATTGTTACTAACTTCATGGTACCATTGGAGCAGAGCTTTAGAGTATTACTTGATGGCGATAGGAGCCAGGTTACATTTTGTTGCAGAAAAATGATGAGGCTGTGAGGTTCAGGTATTTCAGGGTGTTTTTCCATCTGTTTGTGAATGTGATCCCCCTTCTCTTACGTATTTTCTTTTTCACAGTTTAGCAAGCTGTGTCATACTACTGAACTGCCTGAAGTATGAGACACAGATAGGGGTGTCCTAGTAAATATTTAACAACTGGCTCTCC